TTGTCAATCTTTCCATATATGATTCAAACAAATCGCAATATATATATATATATATATATATATGGGGTAAGAACTCATATACATACAAATTTTATAGCTACACTTGTATAAAATTTTGATAATTTATTTCTCTATTTTTAATAGTTAAGACTTAAGATTTGTCATAATTTTTTAGATGAAAAAAATAATTATCTCTAATAAATATGATAAATAATGAATAAATCTCAACTATTAAAAGCAAAAAAATAAATAATCAAAATTTTATATAAATGTGATGTGTAATATTTGTGTGAAAGTGGATCTCATATATATATGAGTAGAGATCTATTCATGTATAAGTTTTACACATTTAAATTAAATAAAATCTTGATCATTTATCTCTTTTTTTCAATAATTACAATTTATTATGACATTTTTGACGAAAATAATAATTATTTTTAATAAATATCAATATATAACAAATTAATATAAACTATAAAACATTAATCATTTGATTAACCCTCCATTAAATAGTTTCAACTTTACAATTCAAAATAATTGAAATTATAAAACAAAATCCTCTATATATAAAATCCTTAAAGATATCAGTAGCCCAGAGTTCATTAATTGAACTAGGACGTGGTTTAGAATTTAGATAACGAGTAAGAACTAAAAAAAAAAATCCCCTAAATCATATTTAATTAAAAATAAAAATAAAATTGATATAATTAATTATAATATCATGTAAAATTATAAATTTATAATTATAATATTTAATTAAATAATTAGTTGGTTTTAATAAAAAATACTCTATTATAATATTATATGTATTTATATATTCATCTATTTAATTATATAATATATTTATAAAGTTAAAATTTTATATGACATTTTTATTATATGATTTTTAAAATAAAAATAAAAATTTGTTCATTTGTAGCCGATATAACGGCGCATATTTTGTTGTCAAAGTCTCAATATATTCCCATTATTTGGGATTTCCTTTTCTAATTAATTTTTTATTTAATTTATGGGTTGAATTCTATTTTCCTTTTTCAAAATTCATACCCGAAGACTGGACATTTCAAGCTTCAGTTATTTACTGGTTCAGGGCTTAACTTTGAGGAATCTATATTGAATTATTTCAGTCCAACCAACATATTGACCGAAACCATAAACAACGTACTAAATGTTTCTTGTTTCTTTCAAAATGTTTGCATATGGTGACATAGAAATGGTCAGGCTTAATCAACGTTCAACGGCCATGAGGTCCCGTTGTCCTTCTTTGACTATTCTAAGGCTTTGGGTGTAATAAAAGTTACATAGTAATAAGCACGTGTACGTGTGTGTGATCATATATTTAAAGATAAAATAGTTCATAAAAATTTGTAAAAATAGATAAGTTAAAAAGCTAAATAATAAGAGAACTTTTTCATGAACTAATAG